TCAGTTTGGAAAGATCTAGCAAAATCTGTTAGTCACCTGCAGGAGAGCGCTCGCTCCCAGCCCTGCACGTTTAGAAACTCTCTTTGCTGAGCAGTGTGTCTCCTGGCTGTGTTACATGAGGGCAGGGGAAAAACCCACCTCGACAGACAGTTCTAAATGGCTGAGCAGGACATAACGTTTTGTGTTTGCCCTGTGTAACCAAAAGAGCAGAAAGTCTGTAGTTCTGTTTGAAAAAAATGCAGCAGGGGAGCAAAACCTGATTTACTCTCCAGATGAGCCAGGAGCTACAGGGTGACTATCTGTAGCTTTGAGCAGGGAGGGCCAGCTTAAAAACCCTTGCCCTAGATCTCTTCCCTCTTTTTTGTTTTGTTTGGTTTTGGTTAAATCCCTGCCATATTCTTCTGCTGCAGTACCTGCAGTGCATCTTCGAGAGTTAAAGGTGGGATGTTTTTTTTTCTGTTGAATCTGGCGCATGGAGACAACTCCCATATTCCACACTAGGATCACAGAATGCTTGCATAACTCATTTTTTAATTACTCTAGTCCTAAACCACTAATTCAGTTCCATTTTATACTGACTACATGTTGGTATTGTTAAGGTTTATGATCCAGTGATTTACAAGGCACGATACATCTGATTTCAAATTGGTTGTATTGATTGTTAAATGGAGTACGGGGACACGAGTGTAACAATAACTCACCAAACTGGTGGATCATGGCAGTGCTGCTGGGATGGTAATTCACTGGGGTAATTAGTTACATAGAACAAGCATGTTTTAATTGTGAAGGCCAAAAATAGACTGATGAGTCTACTGCTTGGTAAACAGTGCTTCTATTTAAGTAAACACTCCTTTTTGTAAAGTTCAGATTAATCAGAAGAAAAATTTCATGTTCTGTTTCTAAAAGCTGGGCTTAATGATGAAATAGATATCACTATATAGGAAGTTTTGAATTAATTTAGAGGAAGGATTTACACAGGTATGCAACTTGTTCTGAAACCCACCTTGCACAGACACAGTGATGTGGGTTACATCACACACATTTAGAGGAAGGATTTACACAGGTATGCATCTTGTTCTGAAAACCATCTTGCACAGACACAGTGCTGTGGGTTACATCACACACAACCCGGTTCTCGAGATGATGAAAACCTACAGTTCATACGGGTTTGATCTGGAGTGATAAATCCTTAACAACTGAAAATGAGTCTTTTATCATCTGCCTACTTCAGTTTGCCCATCTAGAATGCGAATGGTTTAAAATCTCACTTAAACTACTTACAGTGCATTTGTTACTATCTATTGCTGTCTGACACTGCCAGGCTCTCATGGCTGCTGTTTCTTAGGTGCTCCTAAGAGTTCTCAGGGACTCCCCAGTTCGGGTGTTCTCTCTCCCGTTGGAGGGGTTAGGGGACCAGGGGTCTGGCCAAGCAGGGCCTTCTTTTTCTCCTCCCTCCCCATGCGTCCTGGAGGAAGGAGGTTGGGGGCAGAGACAATGGGAGATGAGGGGAACCATCATGATAATTGCTCATTTAAGGATCTCCTCTGTCCCTACTGTGTCGGAACCACTCCTCCTGGAAGGAAAAGCCCTCTAAGCCACTGTTTAGGGGAAAGAGTTATGTCCGTGAGATGAACCATGGCAAACAGACCAAGAGAGGTTGCTGATATACATGTGTCTAGTTTTGCTAAGAAATAATAATATGGAAGGTATATATGGTAATTGTGCCAGTTAGACTTGAACTGTAAGCATGGTGAGAGCTCAAGCCCTTTACGTTGGCTTGAAAGCTACTTTTCATGCATTTCATGTGTAGGTGTTGTGAAACCAGGCTTCTTGTCACATCCCATTACCTGAAGGGAAAAGTGGGTCTCTCCTATGCTGGCGTGCAGGATTGGCTGTTCTGTTAATGACACTACCGCGTTCCTGACCTTCTCATTAATTAGCACTTTCAGTGCATTTTCCAACATCCTGATTTCAGCTCTGTCCTCTGTGAGCGTCACATTGTGCACAAAAAATAGCTTCTTATATGGAAGGCTTTGTTTTCATTTGAAATCCCTCATCCTCCAGCTTTCTTAAATAAGAAAAGGTAGTCAGAGTTGCCGGTACAGACACTCACACAAGTGAGACTGTTCTCTGATCATACAGAGATACAGGCACTGACTTAGTGCCTACGGGTAGGTTCAGAGTGGAAGTGACTCTGCCTCAGGTAAAAATGCAAAAAGTATCACAGGAACGTCTCCCAAACACCTTCTAACCCTTACTAGAGGCAGGCAGAGAAGACGTGTTTAGAACAAAACAGAAAGTCTTTTTCTGAATTCTCATGAAAGCTGTGCCGTGCAACTCCTCAGGTAACATCTCTACGCTTTATTTTAAGGCTTCACAATGTCCAGATTTATTTTGGAACAGGCTTAGGTTCCCTTTCCTCCCGTTTCCCCTTATGTTCACCTACCACCCCTGGTCAGCCTTTAGCAGACGCTGGATGCCAGGGCGGCCCGGCCGCGGGGACAGCTGGGACCCGGCGGCGGTTCAGCCGTCCCTGGGGTGCCGTGCGTGGGGACAGGGGGACACCTGCCCCCTGCAGCCTGCAGGGTCCCCGCCACCCCAGAGCTGGAGACCCGAGACGTCTCTGGCAACAAGGTGGAAGTTCTCCCTCATTTTCCATACACGGCTCTTCAGCTGGAGATGCTTCCTGTGGCCAGAGAACACCGTCTGCCCTAGAACTAAGCTTGCCCCTTTAATGACATTTGTTACGTAGTTTATTGATGCCGTTCTCAAGAGCTAAAAGGACCCTCAGCCCCTCTTAAAGCACGGCACTTACTGACTTCATGCAGTCAGACCTCGGAGAACTGATTTCTGATTCCAGTGATTGTTACAGACATCAGGTAAAGCACGGAGCCACTAAAATCCCTTCTAAATGCAAACTGAATGCAGACACCAAAATCAATAGTCACATCATTTGCCAAAAATTCTTATAAATCCATGCACTGGTACCTATCCTCAAAGAACAGTAAGAAAACTATGAACGAAAGCTGGAATTGTAATATTAATTACATCAGCTAGGATCTACGATGATTCCCCTGCTTTCTGCCCACGTTTTGCAGTGTTATTTTTCCGTTGTGGCATTAACAAGGATGCAAACATCCGTGCTGCCAGCGCTCATTTAACACCAGCTCTGTCCTCGGGAGTTGCACAGCGCTTATGGATTTTGTGCTCCGGAAGTACTTTGCTTCTACCACCAAATTCATTTGGATATGCTTAATTAAAAAAACCAACAACAAACAAAAGCAGCAAATGGAAAGGCACGTGAAGATGCCGAGGCCTGTTATACTTTGCTTTTAAAGGAACCTGTGCACTCCTGGCTGATCTCTGTGCATCTCTTGTGCACGTATAATACTGTGGGTGGCAGCTAGGAGTTACTGCACCCACCCACTCACCAGGTTTATATTTATTACACAGCTGACAGAGGCAGGATCATTAGAAGAGCATTAGGAGAGAAAATCCCTTGATGAGGGCACTGCCCCTTTCATGCCAGCCAAGACTTGCCTGAGCAATGCCAAGTAACCATGTGCCATCACCCTCCCCGTTAACCCATAAGACATTCAGATCAAAATAAAGAAATGAAAGGAATATGAAATTCAGCCCTAATTTCATCTGGTGATGCCATCATGTCTTAAGAAGAGAGCAGTAATTTCCCCCCAACCACGCATGTTTAAAAAGAAATCAGGGTTCAAAGTGTAAGCCCCGCTGCCTGTCCCCAAACTGCAGTTCACCTGGCACCGCCTTTACGGGTCTCTGAGAAATGGCTTCACAGCCTCGGCAGTTTCAAAGTCCTCAGGTGGGAACTGAAGGAGACAGAAGAAAGAAAACAGGCGGAGCTTTTTTTCCTTTTGAGGAGGTTTTGCATAAAGTCCCTCTAGTGAGACCCACACCCCCTTGTGCCTTCAGAGATCTCCCCCCGTCTGGGGACGCCACCGGGACCGGCTCCCGCAGAAGCCCCCATGGGGATGGGGGGTTTCAGGGCCACTCCAGGGGAGAGCATTTGGTCACTAGGACCTCACACCAAAACCTGCCATTTGCTAATTGCACCGGGCGCCTTTGCAAACAAGGACTTAATACTCCCACCACCTTCCTCGGAGAATCCCTGTCTCCGGGTGGAGAAGCCCGAGCACAAGCTCGACACAAGTTGGCTTTTTCCCTGGCAGCAAGGAAGGGCATCACTGCTCTGCCCAGGAGAGCTCTTCTCTTGAGAGCACACCCTGCTTCAAAACCCCATCACCAGGTCAGAGTTTGGGCATTTACATAAGCTCCAAGAAGTCACTGGCAATTTTTAGTGCCTATCCCCAATTAATAAAAAGGGCCCCTGATTTTTGCTAGTGGATTTGTTTCATTCATCTACACCAAAATCTGCCAAGATTAATCTGAGCCCATTTGTGGGAGAATGGTATGTATTTGCTCTGGTATGACACCAAGAGAAACCGCTTTTCCTTTTGGTGCACAGCGACTTTACAGCAGTAAGAACAGAGTTTATAGGTGCAGAGCTCGAGTTATTGCTAATAAAATACAGTTTCAAATCAGCAGCAGCTCTGCTAATGAACAGTCACGCTTCTCTGCGCCGCGCTGCGTGAGGATTTGGCTGGGGGGAGATCTTGGGGGAGGGTCCGTCTTCACTGGGATCTTCCCTTACCATGGTTAGATTGGTTTGAGTTTGCTCACTGCAGTTGCTGAGAATTTGTAAATTATCCTCAAAAAAGACCCGAGAGCTTTCAAAATGTGTCTTCTGTGTCATCGCTCCTTCCCTAACATCATAAATCTGTAAGTCAAATGCAGTGCCTCACTCTGGGTAATTTCCATTAGTTCTTAAAAGGTTTTTCATGGGTATGTTATTTTCACAAACATCTGAATTTAAATTACAGCCTTCTTCTAGCATCTAATATTCAGCCTTTGAAAGTCTTGGCTGCATTTATTACTCCACCAATAAGAGCTCCTCTCTTTTCCCCCCTCAGGGCCGATGCATCAACTTCACCCGAGTTCAGTCTCAGTAGCGGAGGAGAAGCGGATGCCAGGAGGAAAGACAGCCCCATTGCCACTTTTCAACCAAGCAGAGAGAACCGAGCGCTTCCTCACGTTTCTTGGCTCGTCCTCAAGCCCGAACTCAGGTTTCTGCGTCCCCGGAGCCGGCGTGGCCGTGCCCAGCTCCCAGCACCGGAGAGAGCAGCGCACGGGCTCGCCCGCCTGTGCTTCCGTGCAACACCAACGGGCTGACACAGACACCAAAGATGATCACGTTTTTCTATTTTTGTTACTATATGTTTTTGTAAGGACTACAGATCTCAGGACGCCATGTGCTCCCAGCGGCGATGCCGGGTTCCTGGGATGCGGCGGCGGCGCGTGGTTTGGGCAGGGCCCGCCCGGGGCGGAGGGGAGCGGGTCCCAGCGGGCGCAGCCGGCGCGGGAGCCACGTGCCTTAAGCCATGTCAGATCACAAACCCTCGCCAGGCTCCCGCGCGCCCTGCCTTACGGGAACCTTCTGACTGGAAATCTTGTCATCCTCACACTGAAAAGTGCACACGCATGACAAAATGTAGACAGGATGCCTCAAGGTATTGGTAGCAAGACTTTGCCCTTTAGTTTCTGAAGACACCTTTCTTTCATTATGCACCCGGGACAGGAAGAAAATTAATAGAGCGTTATTCCACGGGAAGACAGCCTGTAACCAGAGATCTTGAGCGGAGTTTGAGGGACTGATGCTTCAAGACCTTGACACTGTGGCTGGTGTTTTTTTCCCCTTTCCTGCATTCAGAGTTCAGCAGCGCATAAAACATCATCATCTATAAACATACCTAGCAGTCGTAGGCTTACGTATTTTTTTTTTTTTTAGATTAAAAAAAGCAGTAGCCACTAAGCTGGTATCTCAGGGTTTTTTTTCCCCCCCAAATCTCCAAGGGCTCTTCAGCGTCACAAGCCAGCAACTCTCTTTGCATGAGAATTTCAAAGTTTAATTAATATAATTAAAGGCAACAGCAAGCAGCAGCCTGTGAAGATTTTGCTCATCTTTTTTATGCCTTTTGACATTGAATGACCTATTACTGTATGTGCATTACTCGGTTTGAGGGGGCACCGAGCATTGGTTAAGATCCAGCAGTGGAAAAAGACCTCCTTCCATCAATTTAGAAATTAAATATAGGGGAGCGCTGGCCATCACAAAACATTGACAATGTATGTATTATAATTTTTTAGAAAAACCAGTGTTGTGTCACGTCGACGATGCCAAATTATGTTAGCGTGAGCGGAAACACTGTGGGGGAGGAAGGAGGGAGCAGCTGAAGAAAAAGGCTCAAATGATCCAGTCACTTTCGATACTGTACTTCAGATGCAAAATGGATATTCGAGTCGAAACCTGACAAAGCGCGCCCGCTTTGATGGGAACTGGTATAGACAATGACCAGTGGCTGGGTCAGTGGGATGTCTCTCTGCGAGCAGGGAGGCTTATCAAATGACACTAAAAATAAGTTCAACAACCATCACGTTGGAGGGGAAAAGGCGAACATTTCACATTTGGTGGGCATGAATGTGCGCAAGATGGAAAGAGCAATGCGAAGCATCCTGGTCTAATTATCTCCTTTGTGCTCTTCATTGAAATTGCAGGGGACGTAAATAATTCTCTTGGTCGATGTCCAAATTCGTGGCACTGCCCAAAGAAGCCTTTACATATATCCACTCGCTTACATCTTTTGCTTGAGTTTATTTATGTCACTGGTAGCCTCATCATCAACAGCCATGTGTGCAACATTAGACTATAAATAAAATTATTATCTAAGTTTCAGCGATCATTTCCTTCTTCTTCTCCTCCCCCCGGGTCCCCCATCCTCTCCACAACTCACGCCCTCCTCCTCCAGCGGCACGGTTGCCCTCGGGACCAGCTGCCCAGGCAGCCCCCCGTGCCGTGGCCGGCACAGCCTCCCTCGGGCTGCTCCCAGGAACTCGTGTAGGACCTTGCGTTGGGCACCTTCCCGGGACCATCCAGTGCCCACAGAGGTGGCTTCTCCCTCCCATACCTGGAGAAAGGCAGCTTCCACACCCTGGCCCTCGGCTGGGGACGATTTAGCCCCGTTACCTACAAAAGGCTGATTTCATCCACAAAGCCCAACCATCAACGAGTCTTGGGCTTATTTCAAGCCACCAATCAAACCCCTATGTCCCCTCTGTCTTAGCTCAAGATGAACAATAAAACTCGGTGGGTTTGCTGGGACACAGGTGAGGTTTGGTACCACTCCTCAGGACACGGAGGCGGCACAGGCAGAACACTGGTCCCAAAAGACACCAAGTTAAAATCAGCTCTGTCCCATTTTGCTTACTTTTCCTCCATTTTTAATGTAAACGCGACACTTCTTTTGAGATGTGGCTGGAGTTGCCGGCTTGCATTTTGAGCAGTGTGTTGTATAACAGGAAAACATGCAGATGAAGAGGATTTTTCCCTCACATGTATCTGCTGCCTCTCAATATTTATAACAAATAGAGCCACAGAAATAGAAATCCACTAATAATCTTCCGTCCTCTCTAGCTGTCTATCCATATTCATTATAAACCATAGAACGTGCTATTTTTCACAGAGTGGCTGATACCAAGCAAAAACGTATTTCAGGTATCTACATTGATTTTCCCATCTAATTGGCATGATATTACAGTATGCTACACTTTTCATTTAGCTGAAGATAATACCCTAAGAGTTTCATTATTATACAGTGTGGAGTATCTGTCACAAATAATTTTGGGGGTAAGAGGTATAGAGTAATAGTCCTTTAAAATCCACTGATTCAAAATGACACAGAGTAAGATTTCCTTGGCACAAGAGCTCAAAATGCTTGAGAAAACCACGATCAGGAGGGTTAATAGAGCACGTCCCTCGCACGGTTTCAAACCTCGAGTAACTCCTTACAAAAAGCCCAATTCCTGGTAACTCTGCTGGTATCTATTTAAGCCTGCATAAGGAAAGTAAGTCTCTTGAGAAATTAAATGAGCGCAAGAGTGATCCAGAAACGTTCTACTTACAAGTAGGTATCAGCCCCACGGTCTGAAACGGTTCTTTAACAAGACGCCTGCTCTTACTTCAGTATCTTATTTCCATGTCAAAAAGATCCTCAAAATACAGATGACACCGCAACTACAGGCACTGAGTAGCGTGACCCTTCTGGTGTTAAACTAGTTTAGGAAACCCCTGATCTCTCAGAAAACGATGGGAGACAGTGTCTGGGATGGTTTCCCTCCCGGGAAGGGGCAGGTTTCCAGGCAGAGGTGCTGCGGGTCCCTGTCCCGCACAGCCAGCGGTGGATGGAGCCACCACGGCCCTTCCCGGCCAGGGGACCCTGTGGTCAGTCCATGGGACACCGGGGTGTCTCTAGAGACCGTCCCTGAAAATCAGAACACGCCTGAGGTTTTGTGTTGTAAGCACAAAGAGTAACACAGAGCAAATAAAAGAATAATCCCTACAAACTCCCGCTGCATTCACAAATGCCTGGAGAGGTGACAGTAAGAACAATTTGCTCCCGAGCTGCAACACCCCCGTTGCACAGACGCCCAGCGCTGCGCTGAGCACTCACTGCTCTCGTTGCAGCAGTGGGGCAGCCCTGCCCCGACACACACCTGGCTCCCACGGCGCGGGGCATCGGCAGACACAGCCCTTTCGGGGAAACGGGAACCAATTCCGGGGGACACCAATCAAAGCCTGAAGGGACTCTGGCCCAGCTGCCCCACAGCCAGCGAGCAGGAGGGACCCGCAGGGGCAGGAAAGGGAAAGTTGGTTTCATGGTCGTTATGCTCGATTCCCCAGTTACCCTGGATGTCACAAACCTCGTGTGCAGGAAAGCCCTTGAAATAAAATGGGGCTGCAGGAGACATAAGCAGCATTCTATAATAATCTCTTGATTTTTAAGAGATTTATTGATGCTCCTTTTACTTGATCCTTGCTGAGAAACAGAACATAGGAGAGTATCACCAGCAAGAAACACATTAGTGAAAATGTTCATTTTTTTTCTAAAGAGCAATGTACAAAATGCACAGAAATACCACCAGCCAGTCCTTGAGGAGCTCCTGTTATGACCCAGACAAAGCAGGATTTAAAGGAACAGGAGTGTTATTGTGGACATTAAGATACCCTAAATTATATTACATTTAGGATATGTTAGGATACCTTAAATTATATTATTATACAAGGCTGGTTTTATTTTATATATTTTGATAACTGCAGAAATTAATTGACTGGAGTTAACATGAAATAAAAATTAAAATGAATTTTTCAGTGTTCCCTTTCAGTTGTTTTTTAATTTAACAAGAACTACAGCTTTCATCAAACATTAATCTGCTGGGCTTAAACCAGAGGAGACGGGTCAGGCCGATCTGGGGTGAAAGGGAAGGGAATTTTCTGCAGTGCCACCGTGCAGGCTCATTCCGAGTCACCAGCGCTGGGAGAGCCCGGGCTGGCCAGGATGAATTCCTGCTGGTGTTTTTCCTGCAGGAAATCACCGTGCCCATCTCTCCGCTTCTGACCGTCCTCACCGCGACATCACAACTCTGCCTCCCGCTCCCTGGCGTTCACCTAACGGCCTCACCACGAAATGCTCTAACGCGCAACCCCAGCTGCGTGTGGGGGTTTGTTGTTTTCTTTAAAGGCAAAAGATGACATTATTTTTTTAACCGTCTCAGTAAATGGCTCCTCATGCAAGGCCTGTTTACACCCCCTCCCCGAGATTTCCATGGGCTCTGAATACAGGGTTACCCAGCCTCTTCAAAATCCGTGGTGACACCAGACCGCACTGCTCATTGTTTTCACTTTTAAGCACGTCCTTACAATTCAAATCATGTTGACGCACGTAAGGAAAAAAAAAAAAAAAGGTGAAAGCCACAAGTAGGGTTGGTTTTACCTTCTGCTTTTCCTCCCTGCACATGGAAAGGGACCGGGGAATTCTGTGTTCTCTCAGTTTAGACAAAACATCCCAGCTGTGCGAGAACCCGCTCTTTTATTCACCACGATTCCGGCTGCAGGGAAGGGTGAAGGAACCCATTAGGCTTTTTTTCCAGGTGGGAAAAATACACATTTTATCCTGTGGTTACTGACTGCTGCCTCATGACTGAACAGTTTCCTTTTTTCTAGCTCATTGGGAAGTAGCAAAGGTGCCATCACCATTTGTCTCTAGATCTGAGCTCCTGGAAGTTCTCACTCACAAGAGGCGGCTCCAAGGAGAGTTTTGGAAGCTCGACCTGCATGGTGGGGGTGGGAGGTTCTGACTTTGTCTGCAGCACAGAGGGCAGGACCCAGCCCGAGGAGCCCAGTTTGAAACTGGTACCAGTGCAGTGGCAAACTCGAGTGTTGGGAGGAGGCAAAGTGCACCAAGACGTTAAAGCAGGTAGAAACGTCCTGATCAGGAACCTCAGGGATCACAGCAGGCAAGCGAAGCAAAAGATACATTTGCTAATGAGCATCTTCTAGATACCTCTTGTGCCGTTACAAAATTATTTCATGTCAAAATTTCTAGTAAGAGCCTTATTAGACCTGGCATGTACTATTTTATTTCACAAATCTGTTTTGCATTGGCTCAATTAAAATTGTTATATATTTTTGGGTCTTGTGTAGGTGCCATCTGTTTAACAGTACAAGTGGGTCCTGTGATGCACTTGTAAATTTTCTGCTGCAATAATTTTTTTAATATAACGAGGGACTTTGAATACAAGAAACTGCCTATACTCAGTGATTTTTTATTTTTTGGCAGTCAACTTAGAACAATTCTTACCATGTTACAAGGATGGCTTTGCATCCTATGGAAAAGCGAACGGCTGATCTACACGTTTGCACCGAAGTCATATAATTTAATTCACACTTAATTTTTTCATTTGCTTGTTCTGCCTTATTTTTCAAATGAGCTTATTCTCCCAAGCTGCAACACACGGGACCGCTCTCAGCTGGTTTCCTGAGGCTGTACCTGGACCAGGTGTTGAAGCTGAGCCTTCACCCAAGTAGCAGCAAAGCACAAGGGTTGGCAGGAGTGGCCCCAACTGCCTCAGGGATGGGGTCTCTGATACAGGAACCCCCAAGATCCCCCGAGAAGCTCCTGGTGCCCTGGAGCTCACCCACCACCCAAGGGCTCCCCCCCGGCTTCCCTGGAGCCGACTGAAACGAACTGCACACACCTCTCGTTAACGGCATTGGGAACAAACACACCTTTGTGAGGCACCAATCCAATCTGCACAGAAACAGCCTGATGTGCTCCACAGCAGAGCACAACCTGGGGACAAATCTCCTGGCAAAGAGAACTAAAACTTTTTCTCATACTTGGTGGGGTGGGGGGGGATGGGGGGGATGCGTTGTTATGATTTTTTGCTCTTGCTATTATGTCACAAGCACTGAAACGCTGTTCCTAAAACACAATGAATTACAACAAAGCCCTAAACCCCACCCATTAGTTAGTTTTCCTTTAAAAAAATGTAGTCTCAAATTCTTCTGCTAAATTCTCCACTACACTGTAGGAGAAAAGTATCTGCAATGGCAACAATTCTACAGCTGATTTTGACGTTCTTGTTTTGCTCTACAGTCAAGAGACCGATGCCAGACCTAAGCACACCATTTCTATATGCAGAACTGTTCTTCCCGTGTCGTGGATCAAGCAGCACCCAGAAAAGCGTTCAGGTCCCTTCCGTGCTGCTTGGGATGCTCAGCAGGACAGTCCCCTCGGTTGTCACCAGCCTCCGGAGAAGGAGCCGACCCATTACAGACCCTTCAGAAGGGCTGTAGAACCTTGGCCACCTTGGATGATACTCATTTTTGCCTCTCAC